ACGCTGCTTGAAAAGCGCGGGCGCATTGAGGCAGCGGTTGCATTGCGGTCAATGTCATTGGCACTGGAGCAACTGGAGCTAGGTTCGTGAAACTCGTCCAACACGCCCCTTCTCTATCCCTGGAAGAGAAGGGGTTCCTATTTAAGGGCGTAATCGGGGTTTCCTTTGCTTTCTTTCCCTTTTCCAGAACCACCTCCCACCTCTAGATTCATAACTGAACGCTTTTCCACACCCATTTTCCCGAAGCTTGCCTAATGAATATCACTTCTTCCTCAGCATTCTTGTATTATACTAACCGTTCCTATGCACGCAATCAGTGGCAGGATCATGTGCGCAGGTATATCCCTAGCGTTCAGCTGTGCATAAGATGAAAAGACCGACATAGCGGTGCAGCGTCTAGATACTCCTACGGTACTAAATCGTACAGTATTCAGCGGAACCTACTTTTGTCACCGACGTAGAGGCGATTGAATCGATCATCTATGTCTTCTTTCTGTAATGATGAATATTCACATGATATGAAACAAAGACTCAGCAAGTATCATCGTATCGTAAGGACAAAGCCTGGATCAAACGGCTAGGTTACTGCGCTTGTAAGTGACAGTTGAGATGTGAAGAGTAGCACCAGTTATTAAAAGAAACGAAGAAAGCGAAGAAATCATGGAAAAGATTGGAAATAAAGCCCCTCTCCAATAGCGGCGAGCGAAACATCAATGGTTTGGAGCGGTGTTTAGGGATGATGGAGGGCTTAGCACTTTGTGAATCTTTGGGCCTTGGCGTCTACTAGTCTTGTAAAGTCGTGGCGCCGGGTACAGTATGTGCATGCTCTGCGCTTACGCTCCACTTCAGCTTTCTCGCACAACGGCTTCATTTTGTCTACAAATCCCGGATTATGTTGTCCAAAAAGTTCGCCTTTTGCACTGACTGTTTCATGCGCTTTTTTATATTCGCTCACTAAAGGAATGCTTAAAGGAGGAATTCACGATAAGAATGAAGGTCGAAGAAGGAGTAATTCACCTAGTTGAGAGACCGGCGGACCTCCTGAGGGTGCGACTGACGCGCAAAGATTTGACCTCGGCGACCTAGCATGGCTCACTCTTGGCGCGGTTGGCGGGTCCGCCCACCGACTATCTAATCACTCGCCGCAGGTCTATACGTGGCGAGTGATTAGATAGCAGAGAGAGCGTAGTGTTGAAGAGGGCACAGCGATGAGAGTCGCATCAATCAATGGCAAATCAACGGGAAAGGAAGAGGTCTTGGAGGCAGCGTCCCTATACGCGGTGAGTCGGCGTACACCATTAAAAATGGCGGACCTGACAAATAACCAGGTATATTTTCGCAGGAAATTCAACTAGGACTTTCAAATTTTCTGTTGTGTTGTACGTACCTCATCGGAATAAAGACCAACACGTATCCCTTGACGACGAGCGATTTCTGGTTCACATCTCCCCAAGATCTCCATTACAAGCTAAACAGAGCATGATCTCCTTCACAGCCATTTCTCAACTGGAGCAATGTTTTCATGTACATGAGCCGGACCTATTCAGGGTGGGAAAGAGTTTTACATTTTCGTGCTATTGCCGCCAACTAAGTATTATTAGTTGAATATTTGGAGACATGGTCGTTGCTACCACGGTAGAAAACCTTCACAGCGCCCGTGTTTGTGGGCAAATGTGAAGAAAGGAATGTCTGCCCACGGTGACCGCTTCCAATACAAACGTGCTGCGTCCTCACGCATTTTGAAACTCTGCAGATTCCGACCTTTCTACAACTTTTTCCTCGTCAGCTTTCAGTTCAGGTTCCTCTCAGTATTTTTATCTGAAGCTCTCTCTTGCTCTTTTTGTAACTTGGCCTCCGACACAGTTTATCGTTATGGCTTTGTATCCCTGATTTATACATAGTACAAAATGACGACCACCATATGGGTGCGAGCTCATCAGGGCAGCGATTTGTTCAGCACTCTCAACGGAGAAAGCTTGCAGAGGAGCAATTCATAATAATTCTCAAATAATCCCGTTGCTATACGAAGCTTGATCACTGTGGATTGGATTTGAGGAGTTTTGTAGTCTGAACTAAACAACAACGGAAGCTCTAGCGCACTCCCATCGATACTCCAGTACTGATAACCCTTTCCAGGGCTAAACATATGTATTGCATTGAAAATATGAGAAGAAAAAAAAACAAGGTTTTCATTATGCTGACTATGACAATCTACCAATGTTTGATGCTTTAATTATCAATTTTTGAAAAGCAGAAAAGCTTTTCCTGCAAAATACTTCAACGGTATGGTTTTTTCCGAAAGTGCTAGATCTGGAAATGCTAGCCAAACTACCTGTCTTTGTGTCGTACTGAGTAGAGCTGATGGCTGATGGTTAATGGGATATGCGATGAGTCTCGTTCGAATGGAACTCTGCTCGATTCCGTTGGATGTCGTTGGAAATCTGCCAAGGACCAACAAGTGTAGAGAACTGTAAGAGAAGGCTAAAACTCCGCTGGTAAATGTCTGTTCTACTAAAGAATGTCTACCCTATCAACTACTCCGTCCCTTAGATTGAATTCATTCATGGCGTATTCGGCCATGAGACACATTCCATCCACATTACCAAATGTCTGCACAGCGGCTATGAGAAAACGTAGTTCCTAGAAATGTTTTTGAAGACAGAGGCATGCTGTTGATCTGAGAATACGTGTGCTAAAGCATGTCAACACTCCGTTCTGTAAGATTCATATGAAGCCAAAAACGTTAGTTGTCATGAAAAGCATTCTGCGTTACAATAAGTTTTCACTAACCCTTTAACTACTGTTGCAGGACATACAGGAGGTGTGGGAGCCAATGACAAACAATTTTCCTCCACATTCAAATGAAATTTATCAAACTATGCTTAAGGCAAGTCGGATGATTCCAATTGAATATTGAAACTGAGCACACTCCATCTATAGGAAAATTCGCAATAGCCTTCTAACCCGATGACATCAAAAGATTTTCATACTGAAACACGATGTCAATACGATGTCACAGTATCGACGGATCGTGGACCATTAAGGCGTTCTCTGAAAGGCTGGTTCAAGGGCTTCCACAATCACAGCTAATGTCTCTAGGAAACTATCCACCAGTTAATCCATTCAGAAATTATGTAGCAGCTTCAGGCTGGAGCAAGTTACGGTAGTCCTTCTTGAGCTTGACGGCGGTGCAGATGATGTCATATTCTGAGGACGGTGAGAGCAGTGGAGGGAGGACCTACCTGACCCTGCCTATAGGAGGTCATTCAGAAATATTTTGCCGTAAAATTCCGTCTACTGCGGCTATCTTCTATGACGAAAAAATCGCCGATATGTGACATAAAAAACGTCTTTATTGCCCCCTCTCCTATATGTAGAGCTTGAGTGGCTTCGAGAACAAGCTTTAGCTACTCATTTGTAGATCATATAGATCTAAGCGTTGTTTTTAAAGAGTATGTAGGGTTGTGGCTGAGAAATCCTGGACCTTACTGTTACCTTTATTTTTTCTGTGCATCCGTCAGTTTGAGTGAGAATAGCTTCACGGACCATTGTGCGATCAGCTTCAAATTTCCAGCTAACAGCTGATCGAGGCAATCACTGCCTGAAAATTTTTGTCATGCCTTATTTGACACCTGTCCTGATGCTTGAAAGCAATAAGATGTTTGCTAACTTTCTTACCGTCATCTGTTGTGTTGATGGGTTGAGCGACACTCAAGAACTCGTCCTCCTCCACTTCATCGTCTGCCACAAATGGCAATCGACGGAAATCTTCGGACCGTTGTTCAGCTCTACGGCGCCTTCGTGAACTGAAACTGGGCTGTAAACCAAGGGGTAAACTCTGGAACAAACGACGACCACAGTGACGAAAAATTCCTAATACTATTCTTCTACCCTAATAGAATTCTACGTTAATATCTCAACGTTTTTACTTTGTTTCCGTAAGAAAATGAAAGAGAAGGTACTCCTCAACATCAAAAACTAAAAGATCCCGTATTCAAGAAAAAACTTAATACTCTCAAAAATGTTATTCATGCCATCCTTTCAGATATACAGGGTGGGCAAAAATTACGGTAACAAAATAACTGGGTCATAAAAAAGAAACGTGGCCGAGCAGTCCCAAATTAACACCAGCATATGGTGGAAGGTTACAAAACAGAAAACAATATTGGTCCTTGATGTGGACGTTTTCTGCGCCGATAAATAAATGAAGACTTCCTAGAAGTCAACCTGTGGCGTAAATAGGTGTTGTCCAGTAAGTTCAATGCTTACAAGAGCGACTGCTCAATTAGTCGATGTTCCTGATATGCTTGTAGCAACGCTTTGCCTACACGCCGACACACTAATACAGAGCACTCCACAAGAAATGAGCTGGGAGAGCTGCGTTGTCACTTCTCTAATATGCTGAATTCCACGACATTCTGTTGCCATCAGATTTTGGGCCAATCAGTGCATTGTGGGTGGAACGCCCAATCTTTGGTCTGATGCATCTTCCCATCTAGGCCTTGCGTATTGAAGCATTAACAGAGAAGTATGAGACGATTGCCCAAGTATCTTGAGCAACAGAGGTCTGAGGTTCTTCGAATCATGATTCTTGCTTTTATGATTTCCGCAAAAACCAACACTGAAGATGCTTGGCTTTTCACCAATCTCTTTTAGCATCTTCGCTTTTTATTCACTTTTCACACATCGGTTAGATGCTAGACATTTTTATGCTGGTAAAACTTTCTGTCAAGGTATGTGCAAATATGGTGTTGCAAGAAAGTGCGGCAGCTTCAGCAACGGAACGGTGAAGCGAGCTAGCCATTCGCGTTCTTTCGCAGTTTTCGAGACATTACAATCTGCCTTGTTGACGTGCAGAACTAACTGCACAGTCCCGGCCCTACTGGTGTTGGGCTAGTCCATGAGACATTGTTCCTAGTAATCCCATACGAAATTGCTACAGAGCTTCTGAATAACATTGCAACGTAACACAATCAAACAGCTCGTCGGAACAAAGTAGTGACTACTTCTTGAGGAGCTAAAAAATTGTTCATTCCGGAGTCGATATATTTCATGTGAGAAAATATCTTGTTAGTGATCCAAACTTTTTTCGGCCGCTCGTAATTTTAAAAGACGAGCCATCGGAAGAGGCAACTTTACCACTAGCCGCTTATCACATCAGTCAAGAGCATTGAAGTGCATGTTGCATAAGACGAGGCTCGATTGTGCTCACTGTCACTCAAGTCTACTGTGATATGCGCGCGGTAACGAGCGGAGCCAAGCTGGTGTATGGTGAATGTTCTAAATAGAAACGGTGATGACTGTAGGTACTTCTCACTCCATTATCAGTAGCATCAGCTACTATTCGACCGCTAATTTGCACTGGCATTCGATGCATGGTGCATGGTGATTGTTTGCAGGCACCACTTTAGCACCGCAAACGGTAAGCCGCTGCAAGATAGGCAGGCCTTTTGAGCGGTCAGCTAACGCAATTCACGAAGCAACACCTTGTTTAGCGGTGAATCCCAATGCTCCTCCGGCTGTCCAGTTTCAGCGCTTTTAGCCTTCCATGTCATGCTGGCTTTTGAAGAATCACTTTGGCCGGCGACAAAAGTGAATGCTGATTTGAGGTTGATAAGAGCTATGTGCATGAGGACTAAGAAGGCACTGATCTGTTATCTAGATGCGCTGTAAGAAATCGTTTCGCTTTGCTTGCGAAGTGGGGGAGGTTGATGAAACGTGTCAACACTTGATAAGGAACGATAAGGAGCACAAGAACGCCAATGTCGCGGAATTCATAGCTCGCGGACCAGTAACATTAAGGTGCCGTCCCTTGGATATGATGCAAGGGGTAGGACGGAAACACTTTTGGTGAGTGACAAAACGTGGTAACAACTGACAACTGGCAATTAGTATTGAAAGTGGAGGGATTGGTAACGTCGTTATCTAGATGCGCGATAAGGAAAATATCCTTTCTGTTTGCGATGTCATCGTCAGTTCGAGATCCATTCGACCGCTAATTTGCCCGAGCTTCCTAAGATGGTCATTGTTTGTGGAAATACATAAAACGTAATGTTTCCACTTCAATATCGTTGGCATAAAAAGTTATTCGACCGCTTAACTTCCTAAACATCTAAGGCATGGTAGCTGTTTACGTTTAGAGCTGACAGTAAGCAGTCCAAGTAGTCATAATAGTTATCTAAGCTTATTCAGCCGCTAGACTATGTTATTTTCGAGAAAATGGCAGATGTTTATGGATATTGACGAGCTACGAGAAATGTCTGCTTTATCACCACCACAGTTTGTAGCCTTTCGCTAACAACCTCAGTTGCATTGAAAGCATGCATACTACCTAATAAAAGTGCTATCATGATCCTTTTGCTATACGGCTCATTGGCGAATCAGCAGCCCAAGACGTCGCATTTATGCTGCATGCAGAGGACCCAAGGTATCCGAATGTACTCGAGGTTGGTCCAGAAATCCGCGAGGGAGACTCCAACATTGAAAGTTTCGCCTGATCGGGACGTGTCTCGAAGTCGACAATGATCGTTTGCGCAAGCTGGTGTGGCAGACCCATTGCAAACTGCGCGTGAAATCGCATGAGTCTCAGATGTTCCTTTCAGCACCATCAGCGATCGGCCATGTCGTTTGGGGAAAAAGCACAACATGGCATAGTACGTAGCACGTGTTGACCGCTCGCTATCGCCAGTAACGTGCCGAGATGGCTAAGGAATGACTCTCCTACAAGTGCATGGATGGCTTGCTGAAGTACATCGTCGCAGAGGATGAGAAGTGGTGTTTGGAGGTCAACATCGAGTCAGTTGACAAGGGTGACCAGTATGAGCCCCAACAGAAGGCAGGTGATCATTCTCTGGAGACTATGACCTCTTTTTACTGAGTCTGTTTAAGGATTATCCATTACAAGCCACTGCTGTGCTATTTTGGCGGTAGTCTC